TAGCCAATCAGACAAACTTCTGCTATGAGACAAACGTACTGCAAATCCGCCGATATGATTACTTATTAAATTTAAATCATTGCATATTTAAAACTGAGCGATTAGTCATCTAATTCTAAGAGTGACAAATGACTAGTGATTAAGGGTCCCTCAATGTGATTAAAAATTAATTGTCGAAACGCGGATTTTAAATTTTAGCTAATCAGAGCAGCTCTATGAAAAAAATTGGTGATCGCAGCTTCATGTTTTTGACCTAAGTGATAATCACGATCGTTTGGTAAACACATTGAAGAAGACGCTTGAGAACGGCCTAAGTCTTCTAGATTATAATGGTCACTGTCTATTACTGAAGTGGCATATATACAGAATACTTACAACCAATAACATACTAAATAGTTATATAGCATAATTATCTTGCCTATCTTTAGTAACTGATCTTAGTAGTTGTGCTGGAGTAATTTAGTATTCGCTATAGCATTATATAGCATTATGATAAAAACTTTAAATTGTTCTAGGGAATCTCTTTACTAGAGCATGGGTCCAGTATAACAAAGGTAAACTGTAATTCATTTAATAATCTAATCGCCTTTTCATGCTTATTATCCGTCACCAAATTTAAAGATATGGCTCAGGTTTTTTGCTTTTTTTGCACCCGATGTTTTTCCTTAAGAAATATCACAGTTTCTATTACCAAATTAAATAATGGTGTAACGTTCTTAGAAATTTAATTTTCTATTTTTTTTAACAGCACAGGTTTTTAGGAGATGTATTTAATGAGTAATGGGATTTTCTCTCATACAATTTCAGTTTTTGCTGCTAACCCGACTTTATTCGACTTTTTCATCCTGCCCTTTCCCACCCTCATATGGGACCTAACGAGTAACTTTCTGCGGAAATTAATTAAGATTTTAGGTTTCTTAGTAACAACTAGCCTTTCATCTCTTTTTAAGTGTAGGGCGATAGTCGATGTCAGTCAGAAAAAGTGTTGCCTCTTTACGCATTACGCTTGGGTAGGTATTGTTAATGATAAGAATGTAATAAGTTAGTATCATTGCTTAGTGAATATTGAAGGGTTTTGGCCTGTCAGGCAATAATCAAACCTTAAGTTTAATAATGACCTGTCGGGACGACAGTTAAGAGTTTACCGCACAACCTAAAAAGAGTTATTAATATTTAGTGATTCGTTCAAAAACTGCATTATGATTTGATATTTGCACGAAAAAAGCAAGAAAAGAATACCTAAATTTGTATTTCATTATTTACAACACTTCCTTAATGAAACAAAAACTTTACAATAATATTTAACGATATTTAATAATATTCAACATAAAGCTTAATTTAACGATATTTATTATAAACTTTACTAAAAAATATTTATTATAAACTTTATTTAACAACAATATTATATACTTTATTTAACGACATTTATTATAAACTTTACTAAAAAATATTTATTATAAACTTTATTAAAAGATATTTATTATAAACTTTATTAAAAGATATTTATTATAAACTTTATTTAAAAAAATTTAACTTTATAACAATATTTAACGTAAAACTTTATTTAAAACATTTAATATAAACTTGTATTTACAATATTTAATATAATATAAAATTTTATTTGCAACAATATAACTTTACCGACATCGGATAAACGACGAACCTTCAACTCAGTAAAAAAAAAAAAAAAAGTAATGTGAGTAATCGAAAAAACCTAAGTGCCCCAGGAGGTCGCATGTCAACACGCGATAGTAGTGTCCTCGGGTGACCACGTGTATTCACCCGAGGCTACTATCGTCGAAGGTGTAACCTGGAAGCCCAGGAGCGGTTACCGTAGGGGCGTCAAGTTAATATATTAACGTAAGATCGATTACTCATCTCTTACGCTTCTTCAACTCAACAGCAAAGCAAACACGGTAAACGACTTTACAACCGACGGCGAACAATAAAAACAACGATAAAATAAAAATATATAAAAAGTATGTAGCAAGAAAAAAAATAGGTAAAAATATAAAAAAGAATAAAAACGAAGAGATATTTTTAAGGAATTAAAAATATAATGTTGAAAAAGTGATAAGAATCAGGTAAGAAAAAACCCATCCCTTATATATCTTTTTTGTCGACACGTTCATTGTTTATGATCGCGATTTTACAAAAAATGAACGCGGTGCAGATTAGATAAAAATAGATAAACGCGATACAAATGATGTAATTATTGAAAAAAAAGGATGATCACGATACAAATGATGTACTTATCAAAAAAAAAGTACAAATTAGGTAATTACGGCACCAGGCATATGTCCCATCAATCAAAAGAACTATAATTTAATTGGTTAATATCCGCATGACAGTTTTAACCCCTGAAGACGTACCCGGGTCTCGTATTACAGTATTAAAAAGAGCATGTATATTGCTTATTTTCATAGATTAAACCGGGGTTTAACATATGAAGAATAAAACTGGTTCCAGACACTATCTTTATAATAACAAATCTATCTATTTTTAAAGTTGATATCAAGTAAATATTTAGTGTCTATAATTTTAAAACATATATGTGCAAAAGCGCACATATTGGTAATCTTTAAGGTGCGAAAAAAAATTTTAGACATTGTTTAAACATATGTACAAGAATTTTGTCTGCTAACAAAAATATTTTTACACAATTCTTTTTCTTTAACACAAAGGTAATTATCATCCATGACGAATATTATATATTCTTTTTCGAATTTTAATATTAATAAAGCCATTTTAACGAATCATTATTATAAATTTTTCTTTACTTTTATATCCAGAAGTTATATCAGAGCTGAAGTTCCTTTAATTAGTTGGTGTAAATTAATTGCTCAGGTAACTTATTTAAAGTACTTTTTTAGAACAGCTTTTTACTAATAAAAAATCGGCATAAAATCATTTGTGGCTTCAGAGTACTGTCAATTTTCACTATGTAAAAGAATATCAAAAAGATCTCATTCCTGACGAATTTTGTGTAGAAGACAAACAATATCATCACCATTGGACCATGCACGATTATATTGTAAGTAAAGGCAACTAGAAATGTTTTCGTCTAAGATTGCTTTATTATGTTAGATCTAAATAACCTTTTATTATTTTGAATAGATACAAGCCCTTTAGTCGTAAAAGAATCATGTTCAGATTTGACAACCGTAAATTAAAGTTTTAGTTATATATTGTAGATTTTTTAATGAGTTCTGGTTTATTAGTAATAAATATCACTTTACCCTATTTTATATGAAGCTTTTTTGCATTTTCAAGCAATACTTAAACGATGAGTTGTTTTATAATTATGCAATTTGATCGGTTAATTGTTACAGGTATTCACAATTAGATCTATAAAATATTAACCGTCACAAATTAAGTGATGAATAATAGCATATTAGGTATTCTTATTACCAAAACTGTGTTATACTACTCATCACATAGTTTGGACGTTTGGGTAACATCGTTAGACCTTTACCTGCAATGTTAACAATTCTTAAAATCGCAATAATGTTTATTATTTCACAATATTATATAGAAAACTGATAACTATTGTGATTCGGAATTCGGCGAGTCTGTCGCTAAACTAATCCAACTCTCGCGTAACCTACGGCAGCTAGGTCGAAATAGGCGTGTTAGATTTGGCTGGTGGATTATCCGTAGGTAAGTACTTGTCTCTCTCTTTGTGTCTTTCTTTCAACCTATTTTCTATTAACCTTTGCCTTCTCTTGTATGCCTCAACCCGGGATTACAATACGTCGAATCGGGGTTGGAACTCTTCTATAACGTTAACGACCTTCTTTGGCACGTGACTCGTGGCGAGCGTCCAAAGGCGGTTGTAGTAGTTTATTGGCGAACGATAGGGTTAACAATAGGATTAACGATAGTTTATTAGTTTGTATAGGGTAGACTTCCACTTTTATTAAGGGTCGGATATTTATTGTTATTAGGGAATTTGTTGGTATCAGGAATTATTCACCCTTCCCAAGGCAGAAATGTCCTTTATTTATAATAAACGTTTTATTTACATTGGTAATCAATTTCTGTCATAAATGCAATATATTCCTTATATTCTATATCTTAACTAAATGTAATAAAAGGCCGATATTCTATTATCGTATAAGTAACCGAAATAGCAGAAGTAACGGAAGTAGCGGAAGTAACATTTCCGTTACTTTTCGTGTGACCTTGAATCGGGTATGGATCGTCATCTCGATTCGGGCACTCGTGATCCCAAAAATCGGGCTCACAAAATCTATAAAAAATTAACCATCACACAAACTAAGTGATGAATAATAGCGTATTAGGTATTCTTATTACCGAAACCGTGTGATACTACTCATCACATAGTTTAGACGTGTGGATAACATCGTTAGACCTTTACCCGCAATGTTAACAAATTTTAAATTTGCAATAATTTTTATTATTTCACAATATTACATAGAAAACAACGAACTATTCTACATGAATCGGTAAACATATGCGAAAAAAATAAAAATTGATACGATATAATTAGAAGATATATACATATAAGGTACGAAAATCATTGATATTTTTCACGTTACTATCTACTGTATAAACCAAGATTCATTATATACGATCAACCACTTCAAGAATGTTAATAAACTTAGGTATAAAACTCGGATCTTATATCAAGTTAAGAAATTAGTCAGCTAGTAATCGAAATGTGTTAAGGAAACTTTATTACTGTCTACACTATTAATATGTAACTAGGCAAATGGAAACCATTTGAAGTAGAAAGACATTCATATGATTGGCCAATTTTCGCAGATCTACCCGTGATTTCTCGTGATAATTAGCCAATCAAATTGTGATAATCGGCCAATCAAATAACGATAATAGAAAAACTTTATGTCAGCGAAGCTTATATACTATTTTTTATTCAAGGAAAATCTATTTTAATTATTAGTGCCTTCGCTAGAGACATTACTACTTCTGAAATAAATTATTAATTAGCAATATCACTTATACTGTATATTTCTCTGATTATTACTTTACAGTATTCGTATTTGTATCTATCAAAAAGAAAACTTAAATGATAATTTTATTTTTCAGTTATTACAACCATTTCATTACCATTTTTATATTAATAATAATACTACACATACTGTCAATTCTAAAGCCATATTATATCTATATATTTAGTAAGTTCTATACAAGAATAAAGTAACATAAGTATTAAAGTTTTATAAAAAGAAATAATCTAAACCTAAATACAATAAATTAATATATAGCTTGGAAATGTCTATTTTCAAAATCTAACTTTACATTAAACACCTTGGTCGTTCTTTTTACTAAACGATTTTTTGCAATCAGTAATTGCAAAATTTAATAATACACATAATAGCTTCGTTTCTGAGTAATGTCATATTATTTTGGGATTATATTGTATAGCAAAGGGCAACACTCTTCTAACCCTAATTATAAGTAAAATTGTGAAATGTTGCAATTTGAAAAAGTAGTTTAAACTGTATAAATTAGTTACCCGGACAATTGATTTACATCAGCCAATCAGACGAAAGTCCTTCTATGAGTTAAGCATAGTGATTGATTTGATTTGATCAACCAATCGAAACCTGTAATTTGTGAACACACGCATTCGTGTAACCATATTTTCTGAACAGTAATGTGGTCCAATGAATGGCAGTCATATTGACCACATTACTGTTCATACCAGGGATACCAAAAATTTAATTGCAATTAAATTATTAAACAATTATGATTACAATTAAAATTTAAATTAATTGCGATAAAGTTTTTAGAATACATAATTTGCAAGTTTAAAAAAGGCCTCTATGTAACACTTGCATAGAACTTTTGCGCTCATTGAAATCAATTTAAAAATAGAGATTTGGAACGCTATTTGATATATGTGTCTTCGTAAAGAAATATAAATTATGCATGTTATTATAAAAAAAGATCACTTAATATCTTTGATTTTTTTTATTCAATTTCGTATGATATTTTTAAAAATACTTTTACATATGCTCTATCGCACATTTTGTAAACTCCGTCAAAAATTGCAATTAATTGATTAATTGTGGCTGCGTCATCAACTAATTAATTAAGATTAAATAATTGCCTTCACAATTAAATTTTCGGTACACCTGGTTCAGACAATGTGGCTACACAAATGTGTGTGTCCGCAATTTACAGGTTTTGATTGGTTGATCAAAACAAATCAATCACTATGCTTAATCAAATTCCTTCGGACTTCAAATAGTGTAGACAGTAGTAAAGTTTCCTTAACACATTTCGATTACCAGCTGACTACCTTTTTAACTTGATATAAGATCCGAGTTTTATGCCTAATTTATTTGGTTCTTTTAACATTCTTAGGTGGTTGATCGTAGATAATGAATCTTGGTTTATATGTATATATCTTCTAATTATATAGTATCGAATTTTATTTTTTCGCATATGTTTATCGACTCATGTAGACTCAACGTCCAAACTATGTGATGAGTAGTATCACACGGTTTCGGTAATAAGAATACTTAATACGCTATTATTCATCACTTAGTTTATGATGGATAATTTTTTATAAATCTAATCGTGAATACCTGTGACAATTAACCGATCAAATTGCATAATTATAAAACAACTCATCGGTTAAGTATTGCTAGAATGTGCAAAAAAGCTTCATATAAAATAGGGTAAAGTGATATTTATTACTAATAAACCAGAACTCATTAAAAAATATATAACTAAAACTTTAATTTACGGTTGCCGAATCTAAACATGATTCTTTTACGACTAAAGGGCGTGTATTTATTCAAAATAAATAAAAGGTTATTTAGATATAACATAATAAAGCAATCTTAGACGAAAACATTTCTAGTTACCTTTACTCTACAGTATAATCTTGCATAGTCCAAGAGTGATGATATTGTTTGTCTTCTGCACAAAGTTCGTCAGGAATGAGATCTTTTTGTGATTCTTTTGCATAGTGAAAATTGACAGTACTCTGAAACCACAAATGATTTTATGCCGATTTTTTATTAGTAAAAAGCTGTCCTAAAAAAGTACTTTAAATAAGTTACCTGAGCAATTAATTTACACTAGCCAATTAAAGGAACTTCGCCTCTGATATAACTTCTAGATATAAAAAAATAAAGAAAATATTTAAAATAATGTCTCATTAGGATGCCTTTATTAATATTAAAAATCGATCATATTCGTCATAGATTATAATTACCTTTATGTGTTAAAAAAAAAGAATTGTGTAAAAATATTTTTGTTAGCAGACAAAATTCTTGTACATATGTTTAAGCAGTGTCTAAATTAATATGCAGAAGGAGAAGCGCCCATTAAAAATTTTTTTTCACACCTTAAAGATTAACAATATGAACATAGCGATAATACGCAATTGAAATTAAATTATATCTTTAAATATTTACTTAATATCGAACTTTAAAAATAGATAAATTTGTTATAATAAAGATAGCGTTTGGAACCAGTCTTATTCTTCACATGTTAAAACCGGTTTAATCGAGTTTAGCTATGAAAATAAAATCTTCGTCTTAATACTGTAATAAGAACACAATTTACGTCTTCAGAAGTTAAAACTGTCACGCGGATATTAACCAATTAAATTATAGTTTTTTTTAATTTTTTTTTTGATTTATGATATGCCTGGTGTCGTGATTACCTAATATGTATCGCGATCATCCATTTTTTT